TTACTTGTAAATGGGCTTGAGGCTCTCCACGGTCTCATTGGGCTCAACCATGGCGCAAAAAGGGCGTCCGTCGCCCAACACGATGCAGAACAGTTCGAGCATGTTTGGGAATGACCGTTGGGTGTCATTCATTGAACTGCCACGACAAACGGACCCCTTTTATTTTCTTATGATAGTTCGGCATGACATTTCGGAATTGTGCGTTTTTGGCGGGTGGGTACAGCTCCAAAGCGTGTACACCGTCATGATATCCATCGCGCTGATTACGTTCGGCGTATGCATGACGATGCAAGATGATGCTAGTGGCGAGGTCACAACAGACAAGGCCAAACTGTCCGGCTTGTCGACACGATTCACGAACGTCAAGAGCCAACCAATTGGGGACCAAAGGGGGGTATTGTGGCGAAAATGCTGAGTTCACGTGCCAGTCGTTGGCTTGAGCGACACCTTTCGAGGCAAAGTCTCGATTAATCCATCCGGGACGACATAGGCTGACAAGCATCACATCCCGGGATGCTCAAGGCTGGCCTTGTTGCGTCGTTACGATAAAGTCGATCAATGTATTCAAATTGCATACACATTGGTCATGCTCATTACAACTCACGATTACTGGCTCACGAGCATCGCATGGATAGTTTCGACCACTCGCTGAAGAGATTCGAGCGTCGGGCGATGATCGTCACCGACTTGAATTTCAACCTCCATCTTGAGGATTTCGGTGCTTTCGCGCTTGAAAAACATCCACTTACACCATTCGTCGCAATGTCATACACCACGTCCACCATGTCCTCGTCAGCCACGGCCTCGCAGCCCAGCAACACTTGAGCCATCGCATTCTCCATGCTGTCTGTCGTTCCTTATTTGCACGATGCAGATGCTTGTAGCGCCACGCCATAGCACAAAGTCGAGTTGTCCATGCACTTTCAATTGGTTTCCAACGACCTTTTCTTGCATAAACATGTGGACGCCGTACCAGACACGCCACATGGACTAAGGTCGAAGTGATGAAGAACAGGCGCGTCGATTCGTTGCTTCCAACGACGCCACCAAGGGCTTTCGTGCCAAGCTTGAGGCACGCGTATAATGCACCCATATGATCTGGTGCAATGACTTCTCGGGGCAACTCTTGGTGGCTCGTGCACTTGTCAAATACCCAACCGACATCGGACCACGACACGTCTGCCAGCGGGGCCCCATACACACCACCATGCCACGACTTGTATTGATCCATCGCAGCGTCGAGTTTCGTCCAGCGTTTATAGCTTGTATTGGGAAAATCGTCCAACCGAGCGACCACCACGTGGATTTTTCGAGCAAGGGGGGCGCTCGTTGTGTCGAAACATTCCGAGATGAGTGACGCAGCAGGCATATTGGCCTTGTGGCCGCCATAGGAATCCAAGGACGCTCGTGTCAAGTCAATGGGGTTCCCGTTGAGCAAAAACTGACCATCCTGGCCTTGCACCAGCCCTTCCACACGGTACAGATCCAGTTGGTCCGATGGAAACTGGTACATCTTGGCTTGCTTGATCCCTTCCTTGAGATGCCCCAGTTCCAGCAATGTCCACAGGGAAAGGACGCCCCTCGCCCTCGACGACGCAGAACACGGTGAACATTGTTTGAAATGACAGTTGGGGGCACTCTCCATATTCGGTTTCCGCTGAAACATTGGTCAATGAATGGTACCATAGCAATTTTTGTGTGAATATTACTACCACTGGTAGTAATATTACTACTTCGAAGTACTCCGGAGTATTTATTTATAGTAAGTATTAATTCATGATACACTGATCAACTTATGACCAACACAAAGCAGCCAATCAGAATGCTGAAATCAACAAATATACCCACTTTCGAAGCATTTGGGTACAAATTCTAGACGAGTGCTTTCTAGGTTCAGAGGCATCCAGGCACACGTATTTTTACGAATTCTATTCTTTGACATTCAAGTCAAAGAATGGAATTCGTGACAGAAATAGAATTCGCCGATTTGGCGTATTTTTTTCCTGACACTTGTGCATTTGAGATATCTTGGAATTTTCAGAAAAAAGTAGAGGCATCCTGACATTTCACGACCAACTTATAGTGTCAAGTTTTATAGTGACTTTGGGAACTTGG